ACTAAAAAATTTCAAAGATAGCTTTTATAAAGTAAGTTAGTAACAGGTGCATTTATATTAAGAAAAACATAGTAAAACCGCCTCCGTGACTTCGAAAATGCTTTTTTTATTAAGTAAAACATAGTAAAAAATGCTTTTGCAGCTTCAAAAATGCTTTTTTACTAAGTAAAACATAGTAAAAAACGCCTTCGCAGCTTCAGAAAACTAAGTAAAACATAGTAGAAAATACCTTCGCAGCTTTGAAAATGCTTTTTTACTAAGTAAAACATAGTATAAAACACCTTCGTAGCTTCAGAAATACTTTTTTTATTAAGTAAAACATAGTAAAAAAGCATTTTTGAAGCTGCGAAGGCGTTTTTTACTAGGTTTTACTTAATAAAAAAAGCATTTTTGAAGCTGCGAAGGCATTTTCTACTATGTTTTACTTAGTAAAAAAGCATTTTTGAAGTCGCGAAGGCATTTTTTACTATGTTTTATTTAATAAAAAAGTATTTCTGAAGCTGCAGAGGTGTTTTTTACTATGTTTTTCTTAGTTAATACCATCACTGAAGCTTTGAAAATGGTTTTACTATTGATTCAAATCAAATCAAATATTCAAATAGTTGATTTGAATTTGATCGAATCGAATCAAAAATTAATTTGGATTTGATCAAATAAATGATTCTTTAATTTGAATTTGATCGAATCGAATCAAATATAAATTTGTATTTGTATTTGATTTGATTTTCAAATCAAATATTCAAATATCAAATCAAATTGCGAAACCCTAATCGTAACCTTTGGCCAGAAAAGAAGATTCGTTTAGTGTGTGAATGGTATTCTGATAAAATGATGATAATTCAGAAGTTTTGAACTGCTATGTATTATGAATCATATCATAACAGCCTGATTTTTGTGAATAACAATCAATGTTAAAGGAGGCAGTTACTGGATCAGTGTATATTTTTAAACTTTATCCTAAGTTTCATTGCGAATGCAATTTTATAGAAAGATACTGGGGTTTTACTAAACGAGAAACTAGACAAATATACAATTACAACTACAAAAACTTACTTCAACAGCTTCCAAGGGTTCTTAATGATATTCTGTAATAACTATTCGTAAATTTGCTCAGAAATCTTGGAGATATATGGATGCTTATAACAAGGGGTTGGTGAGTAGATCTGCCGAGTGGGCCGTTACTAAGTATAAATCTCATTGTCATTTACCTGAAGACATCGAAAAAGAAATGGATCTAATTGAGTAATTAGTACATGCTTATTCTGTTTGTATAATTAGTTTGACACATAAAAATAAAATTTTAATTACAGATTTATTTTAAATCCACAAGAGATCAAATATGATATCATGAATTTTTTTTATTACTCCTGTATAATTAGTACAATCCACGTGATTGTCGGATATAACCTACCGGCACCATAGCTGAAAAATTAAATATTCAATTATAACTGGAATTTTGTATTAAAACATGAAAATGTCACGTTAAATGTATAATATAAATTTTACTACTGATCAGATATCTATAAAACTTTAAATTATATGCAATTCGTTATGGCGAATAACTTTACTTATTATTCCAAAAGTGATTAAATTAATACAATATAAATTTTATTTGAAAGAACATTTTCCGTCGATTTTCTAATTTTTAAGTGACCCTATTCCTTCGGCAAGATATCGTACTGCACATTTTTCAGGTGATCGATCTCACATGATTATTTTGAAAACATCTTATCCGACCCGATTTTATGCAATCTATTTTCGACCAGCTTGCTTAAGCAAATATCCCTTCCAATGATCCAATGATGCTTTTTATATCGAAGAGGCTTTAGAACGCTAAATTTAAGATAAGTAAATTTAGAATATTACATTAGCTATGGAACGAAACTTACTAATCAATTCTGATTTAATGCTGTAGATGGAGATTACGAATTTTTGAAGGCTCTAGGATTAATAGATGATGAAGAAGCAGAGATAGTTGATAGTGGGCAATAGCACGAATACCCAAATCAGTAATATACCCACAGTTATGACATGATTTCGCTATTTCCTTGATAGCAGTATTATTAATACTATGGGATCCCATTAGACCAAGAAATCTAAGGTTTCGGCATGAACATGCAATAATACACATGGTGGATTCACTGATTATGATCTTCTAGTATCATTCCAAGATCAAGATGTTGTAAATTAGGATACGCATATACAATTTTGTATAACCACATTCAAAGAGATCTAGCCTTATTAGATTTGTGATATATTTGGGCATGAGCATATAATATAATTCCGTCTATTTTTTCATCTGAGAAATTATCGCGTATTAAAATTTCAGCTAAATTATATACTGTAAATAAGAAAATTAGTTAATCAGCCATGTAGACTTTACATTTACATGGCTCAGTTGCGGTTTAATTGAGGTTATGTTAAAAGTACAAGCAAGCAACTAATAATTATTTTATTAATACTTTATTAATATTCATTTTGACAGGTGTTATTATACAATTATTTTATATATAGTGCAGTAGATCTATAAATTTTTGCCATGAAATAAAAAATATAAGAATGGTGAATAAAAGAAGTGATTTTCAAATAAATTCACCTTAGATTAAAATCTCATCATCAAGTACTGCTTTTTCAACCTATTCAGCCAATATACATCATGTTCCTTCTTTAACTCCATCTTATCTTCAGCTCCAGTTGGCCAATTAATATCAGTATTCATGAAAGTCGGATAGCAATCCACATTATCCCTGCCGGCCCAGTCGAAATCTACCAACATTCCGCTGTAGTTTTCATCATCATCTTTAATAACCAAGATGTTAGAATCACGGAGGTCTGCAAAAATAATATCTTTCGCGTGTAGATGATTTACAGCCACTTCAATGTCATTTATAATTTTTTTATATTCAGTGTCTTTCAAATCATCACAATCACGTAGTTTCTGGCCATCAACATATTCCATAACTATCATGTAAAGTCCACATAGACTACTTGATACATATAACAGTTTTGGTGCTTTTCCAATATCATGGCACAATTTGTGTGCGTGGCCATTGTACCTATGTGTAAACTTAACAACAATTAAGCGACCATCTTCTTTTGTCTCAGCCTTCCAAAGAAGCTTGTGTGGATC